CCCGCCGCCCCCCGCCCCGGCGCCGGCCGAGGGGCTGGCTGCTCTGCGCAGGACCCCCAGACACGGGGGATTTGCTCCTCACCTGGTTGTTCACCACGACGTGGACGGTGCCGTGGGTGGTGTAGGAGGGCAGGTCGCTCAAGTGGAAGGTCTCGTACACGATGCCCTGCCCGGCGAACGCGGCGTCTCCGTGCAGCAGGATGGACATCACCTGGGAGACGGGACAGCGGTCATCAGGGGCTCTGCGGGGACGGCAGGCGGGGGCGGCCAGCGGGAAGGGGCCCAGATCTCATCCCTGTGAGTCTCTGATGTCCCAGAAAGGACATGAAGCAGCTCATCAACGCATCCGATGCTTTTTTGGGGGATTGGAGTGGCACAGGCCACAGCTGGCACAACCGCCAAGGAGAAGGCTGTGGCCACTGGTTCTCCCCCGGAGCTTGAGGGACTTCCGTCGGGCAGCGGGATGGCACCTGGCACACAGCGGCTGGGAGATGAGTCCCGTTCCCAAACACATGTCCCAAAGCAAAGCCTTTTCCTAACCAGGGGAAGATGAGAAAAATGCCCCTTTCCCCTGGGCTTTCACCCCAGGAGACCTTTGGGCAGGAGTCAGTCCAGAAGCTCACTCCGGCTTTGGCGACATGATTTTGCTGTCATCCCCAGGGGCTGGCTGAGGACGCTGCCTGTCAGACGAGGACAGAGTTCGTCTATTTATACCCAGCCCTTGGGGTGTAGGAGGAAGGGAAGCACTTTCCATCTCACCCTTCCACTTCTTGGCGTTGGAGACAGGTCTGCGATGAATCACACGGCAACTAAAGCCCCCGCAGCCTGGGCACCTCGCTGTGGGCACCACGGCACCACTCACCTTCTTCCCTTCCGTGTCCCCACAGTAGAACTGCTCTGCTTTCGTCTTGCCTTGAACAACGGGATCAGCTGCCTCCAGGTGAGAAGGATTTGCCACCAAGGAAAGGGTGATGTTCCTGTCGGTGACGCGGTTAATCCGCCGGTGGTACATTCCCAGGTGGTACTTCACGTCGCCGGAGCCCTGACAGAGGGGAGAGGAAAGGAGAGTCACCCCCAGGAATATAAGCGGCTTTTGGGGCACGGAAGGAGACCTGAGGCAGGGCAGCGCTGGCCCCAGGGGCTGGAAAAAGGGGCGTTTGCTGGAGGCACTGGCAGAAAGCAGCGGCAGGTGCTCGCTTTAGGAGCGTTCAGCAAAGCAAAGGAACCTCTTCCAGGTGCCAAACTGCCACCAAACCTGGGACGCTCATCAAGCCCGTCTAGGTGCGGTCAATAGGAGGAGGAAAGCAGCACGTGCGGTGGGTTTGGGGAAGACACTGGAACACAGAGCTGGGAGAACGCTCCCCCAAGCTCTGCCCGCACTGTACAGCCGTTCCCGGCACCGCCGGCAATTCGCTGCCGTTCCCTGGCCGCGGCACCTCCGCACCCCAGGCTGCTGCTTCCCCACCGCAGAGCCCCAACTCAAGGGCATGGCAGGGTAAAACCAGCCCAGCCTTCAAAAGTCAAATCATCCTGGCTGATGGTGCTGGAAGCTTTGGAGCACGAGTGCACCGCAGTGACAGAGCCTGCGGCACCAGCGATTCGAGCCTTGGGGCTTTTGGAGCTGCTTTGGGGCCACATATGGGGACCCCGCTGCAGGGGTACAAGCCAACCTCTGCTCCCGGCCCCCTGCCCATCACCTCAGTGCTCATCCCAAGGCTGCTTCACGCCTACGGAGAGCCACTGACTGCCCAGCCTGCGCTGGGGACACCAGCAGCAGCCGGGGCACGTCACCCCCCGGGACAGGCAGGGAGAGAGCAGCACCGGCACCGACACAACGGCTTCAATCACCAGAGCACGCGTGCGATGTGGAAATCCTTGCGATGCCAAGGCCACCGAGTAACACAATGAGCGGTGGCACAATCCAGCTCACGCTGCACGGGCACAGCCTGCGGGAACCACATGGGGACAGGCAGAAGCAACCTGCTACGGGCCGAGGAGGAGACTCACCTCATCAGCAGCCTCCAGCTTGGAATCAAACTGGCAGAAGATCTGCTCCAGCTCTTTCCTGATCACGTTGGCGAGAACATTCAGGCGTCCCCTGCACAAGCAAGACCGCTGTTGGCAACCAGCAGTGCCGACGGTCACCTGCCATCCACCCCATCACGCACGACACCTCCCACCACGGCTCTGGGGTCACCCGGGGAGGGGGCTCTGCGGTTTCACCCGAGAAGGAGGCTGCAGACCCCCCAGCGCAGGGACGGACCAGCCGCCAGCACATCCCGACAGCTGCCCCAGAGTAGGCAGGCCGAATCCTGCTCTGGGATTCCAGCTCTGCTGCTCGAGCCACCGTTCCTCTCCAGATGAATTTACAACTGAACTGAAGCTGCAAACACCACGACAAGCGAAGGGCAGCCAAAGCCCGAGCTCTCCAGCTTCAGGTTCACCACCAGCCAAGACCAGTGAGGTGATGGCAGGAACCGGTTTGCCCTGCAGCACCGACCCCCAGCAGCATCCCCCTCCTCTGCGCCCCAAGTGCCGCCATGGGGGGAGGCAGGTGTACCTGTGGGGCATCCCCATGATAACGTAATCCACTCCCTTCTCACTCGACTTGTCAATAATGGTCTTTAGGGCTGGGATCAGCACTTCGCAGCCCTCCAGACCGAAACGCTTCTCCGAAGACCATTTCCGATGGAGGAACTCCTCAAACCTGGGAGGCAAAGGGAGAGAGGGATCAGTGCCAGGGCTACAGAAACCGGAGAGAGGACGGGGACCACGCCGAGGGAGCCCCAGCAACCACTGATGCTTAAGCAGGCATCAGACAGCAGCCCAACAGCCTTCCCAGTCACCCCAGTCCCCTCCCGCTGCACCCAGCTGGCTGCTCCCCCACCCTGACATTGTGCTGCACTTAAACCTTATTTTTAGACCTTTTCTTTCAAGATCATCCACGTTTTCGGGCTCTTTGCCAGCACCTGAGCCTGCCAGCTCGCTGGCATCGTCCAGCTGATTAAGCCAACCGTGACAGATGACGTCAAGATGTGACTCAGGTGGTGACTGTGTCGATCCGGCTGGAAGCAGAACAACCCCAGGCAGCGGCGGGAGAGAAGGGGAAGGTGAAGGCCCCCCCCCGGGGTACCTGGTAGAGCGGACGAGCCTGGCCAGCAGCGTGCGTTTCTCTTCATTGGTGAACTGCATGATGCCCGGGGTCTCAAACTTCTGCCGGATCCACTGGCACTGCTCCAGGTCGTTGATGAACATGAACTCCACGCCGATGTGCTGGCAGTACGCCATCTGCCCCAACACGGGAGAGGAAGAGCCGTGAGATGACAGCCAGGACTTAGCACCTCCTCACCCCTCGCACGGACGGCACCGTATCGCATCACGGGGCCAGGGACTCTCTTGTTCCCCTCCCTAACCTTTCAGCAAGACAAAGAGCCCTCGTGCAGCAGCCTGGCAGCCGCACCGTGCTGCCCCAACACCGGCAAGTGCTGCCTGCGACGGCAGCCCCGGCAGCCAGCCCCATGCCAGCCCCATTTGGGAGCCTGGTCTGAGCTGCTTTCCCAGGGACACGGCAGCGGACATCCTGGGATGCTGCAGAGCAGCTCAAACCCTGCACGTGACTCAGCATCAAAATGTTTTATCCCCTTTCCCCAATGGGCCCAGGATCAGACCCTTGAGTCCTTTTCATCCACCTCAGAGGTGAGATTTTCCCTCTCGGTGGCATCAGCTGTGAGCAGGTCCAAAACCCCACTTCACGTAGCCGGGAGTGAATCAGCAAAACAACCAAAAAAAACCCAAGGAGCCCGTTCTAGCAGCTTATCTAAGCTGTTGACGCAGTTTTGCTTCTCCCAAGGTCAACCTGTCTCAGCAGAAACCATCTGAGCTCGCCTGCAGCGTGCCTGCAAGCCGTCTGCACTCACAGACGGGGCAGAGCCGGGGATGAAACCTGGCAGCACAGAGGAACTGGCTGCAAGAGCTGGAAGCCCCAGCCCCAGGCTGGAGCTGCTGAGACCCTCCGAGGGGCCACGACGCAGGGCAGCAGCACGCCAGTGGCACGCGGAGATCCCACCCTCCAGCCTGCTCCAGTGCCCTCCCAGCCCCGTTTGCTGCTTTCAACAGCAAAATGCAGCTGGAGAGGTTGCCAAAAATGCAATATTTAGTTGCCCGGGGTTTGCTCCACCTTGGGTAGACCGAACGCATCGCCCCGGTGCAGCGCGAAGCTGGAGGAGATCGGAGGTGACCAGGTAACATGGGGCGGGGCTGCTACAAGTGGGGCGAGCGCCGAGGAGCAGCTCCCGACCTGAAAAACTCCAAATCTGCAGGTCGGCCCAGGCTGCAGGCAACAGCAGGGCTCAGGACCTCCAAAAAGCAGCTGCTCTGCCCCAAGCCCAGGCTGCAAACACGGGGAGGGTCTCACCCAGCCCTCCCCACCCTCCTCACCTCCAGCCGACGGATGATTTCCCGGAGCGGAAGAGCCGATTCATTTCCACCGATGAAAGTGGTTGTGGGTAAGCGGAAGACCTTGTCGAGGTCAGATTCATCCAGCCCGTAAAAGCCTGCAGGATTTTTCATGGGTGGAACAAGCGAAAGCAAGAGAGAGAAAGGAAGAAAGGGGGACGGGAGGGGGGGACACCGTCACGCAGGGACCGGGAGCATTTGGGAGAGGTGGGGAGGAAGGGATAAAAAAAAAAGCGGCATAAAACCAAAAATAAGCATGGAGGAGGTTTATATGGATAAAAACCAAGCCGTAATTAAACAAAAAGACATTAAGCACAGAACGGCAAGGTTATTACGAAAGGTAACGCAGGAAACGAAACACAAAGCAATATATATGCACCCAAAAATCGGTAATTAAAATCCAGGGTGAGAGTCAGGAAGTTTGTAGCCCCAAGAACGCAAAGAACACACCACAAATTATAACAGGGGAGAGAAATGAAACGGAGGAATTGAGGAGTCACCGAGTGCAACGGAGGTGTTGCCACACAGTGGGAATTGAAAAGGAAGAGTCAACACGGAGCAGGAAACAGTTCAAACAAACCCCAAAGGGAGAGAAGAGATGCAAGAGAGAGAGAAGACAGTGTCAGGGCTCTGCGACGGACTCTCCTGAATAGCTCAGCCCGGGAGCGGGGCAGCCAGTCAGCCCCTCCGGAGTTTTGCTGCCCAGATACCCCCTCGCCCCAATTAACAGCCTTTTAATTAGGGGTTTCACCTAGCTCTGCTCAGCAAACCCCCTTCTTTTTGGTGCTGGCACCTCCCGGTTCAGAGGCGGCTCCTGCTTATGGCCGGAGGGGCTGCGGGGAGCGGGGCTGTGCCTGGAGAAGGTGCGGAGCCGGGCTCGGAGCCCATTGTTGGGTTTTAGAGCTGCAGGTGAACCCCCCCGCTCCCTCCACCGGACCGGCAGGGG